GTATCCTCACCGTTGTGAATTCTGCGCCTCATGCGCTCTGCGGCTAATAAATCCGCGTTCGCGCCCGAAGTTATGCGCCTTCGTCGCCTTTACAAGAATATAAACTCCTCAGGAGATGGGCGAAGGATGTAGCCAATTTTGCGAGCTTGAGTGAGATAGCTGCATCTCCCTCACTATGAGCTACTGTAAGATGCAAATCAATCAATAATACTGCGGCCAAAACGCAGCTTGCTCAAGAGCGAGGAATCGATAAGAAAAATTAGCACTTATTTCACCCTCTTTTCTAAAACAAAAGCTGGGCAAGGCCGGAGAATTGCTTTAGCAAAACTGACAAGTCAAGCAGCTTCAAACAGGTCGTATCACTAATCTATCTCTCGATTGTTTTCAAAAACATCACTGCTATAGGGAAGTGAGATGCAGTCAGGATCATTTTTGAAGTATCTTGTGCAGCAGTCGGGCTCAATTTGGAAGCAATTCTGAGCTGGAATGGGCGACTTCAAACTGCAGCTCGAACCTTCGGACAAAATCATCTTCAGCGGAAAAAAACTCGGCGAAGAAGCAACGCCGGCAAGCATCAAGATCACCAATACGCTAAAAGAAAGAATTGCGTATAAGGTAAGCTCGGTGACAGAGTGTCCCATAGGATGTGAGACGGTTCAGGTGAAATGCACATCAAACGAAATGTTTCGCATTCGGCCACCGGTTGGCGCACTGAAACCGGACGATTCTGTCACTGTCTCTGTGAGTGAACGAGACTTCTCAACTTTTTAGAAATTATGCAGAAGATGTCCTTTAGAGGCGCAAAAGCACTTTTACTTGTTTGCAGGTGTTGTTTGCGTATTCTTCCTATGCTCATCTGAACTGATATGCGCTGCTTGCCGCACTGCATTCGCGCGCCGACTCCCTGCACCGCTGAGTCTACCAAAAACTGTGGGAATAGCGGGTCTTTCACAAATCTGAAACCTACTCGGCATAGCCATTATTCAAAATGAAATAGATTTTAGCGGAAGATAATGATAGCACAATCATTTTGAGCAGTCTGATGGGGTTCATCAAAGACAATCAATTACCCCTCCCCTCCACAGGAACAGAACCCATTTTTCTGAATTTCCCTTTTTAGCTAACATTTAATGCTGGTAAAACTGTTCCTGACAGCGGAAAGCATTATTTTGCAGTTTACTACATCAAAGCACCCGACGAAAAGAAAGTGAGCTGCTAGTTATTCCACTCGAATCACATCAAATTTTGTCACAATTTTGCAGGCCCCAAGAGCAACATGGGCAGATCATAAGGGAGACCCGGAGGGAACAAAACGCCTGTATATAGATTTCAAGAAGGTAGCAAATGTGTAATTTGACATAGGACGATGTAGAGCAATCGCTTTTCATTTAGGAGGGTGAGGAAGAAAAGAAAGATGAAAAGAAGGAGGGTGAGGAGAAGAAAGACGAAAAGAAAGATGAAGAGAAGAAAGACGAGAAGAAAGACGAGGAGAAGAAGGATGAAAAGAAAGATGAGGAGAAGAAAGATGAAAAGAAGGACGAGGAGAAGAAGGAAGAAAAGAAGGATGAGGAGAAGAAGGAGGTAAAAAATTTTTTGAACAGTATTGACAGAGGAATAAAGCGCTCTCTATTCCAGGAAGAGAAGAAGTGAAGTTATCTCCCACCTGAAGTTCTAGATTTGATGGCCGTCATTAAAAATTATATAAATGATGTGCATGAGTAAATTGTTTACGTGGGAATGAAGGAATTACGGCCCCAATGTCA